AGATCAGCCCATTCTACGCCTCCCACCCCCAATCAGCACCACTGCTCGGCCCCATCGCCCCAAAGCCAAAATGTTTCCCTCAAATTTCCCCATTTTGCATGCTGTTTGGTCCGGAGGGCATGTGTGATAACTTATGCATGATCCTGGCTTTCTAATAAAAATTTCATTATTATAAATGATTGCGAAAGTTTTCATATTCTACATTTTGTCTTTGCAGGGAATTTTAAACACTGTTTAATTTTGTCCCTTGGTGCTGGTATGTGTATTAATCCCGCTGATCCATATTCATATCCTCCCAGCTCCTGTGGATTATCACAGCTCGTGGAGCCATTTCCTTAAAGAACTGAGTATCCACAATATTTATTATTGTTACTAATGCAACACGTTTTCAGCCCCTTTAATAATCACAGGACGTGGTTCTCATCGTATCTAAATAACTGATTGACTTACAGCTCACTAATATGGATGTGTCCAGGCGTACTTAATTGGATCGTTACTGGCTCGGTGCAGTGCTTTGTGACACCAATAAATCAATGGCCGTGGCTGGTGGCTCAGGTTACCAGAGCTGGGGAGCACTGGAGAGGGGGAGATGGGAGTGGGGAGGGCAGTGGGGAAGTGGATGAGGGGACCAGAACAGCGCATCATCAGAAGGCAATGAAGGCTAATTTGTCCGTGTTTTCAGTTCAAAAGCATTTATTAGGGATGTCTGACTTATTCATATGCAGGTCGGCCTGCTAATGTTGTATTAACCTCTGCTGCTGCTGCTGCGCACAAGAAAAACTCAGACCAGGCTTGGAGAGGTGTTACGTGCTGCACAAAGCATCTCCTGACACTCCCGGCATCCCTGCAACTGGGCTGCACCAACCTTGGCTGCGAGCGAGTCCAGCCCATGGGAGCTGCCTGGGGTCGAGACCTCCCACACCCACTCAGGTTTTGTGCCCACGCAGGTTTTGTGCCCACCTGGGCTTTGTGCCCACGCAGGTTTTGTCTCCCCAGAGCATCCCCCAGTGGCTCTGGTCCCTGTGGGGCACAGCAGAGCCTCTCAGGAGCATGGCTCTGGGCTCTGAACCTGGCAGCAAGGATTGGGACCTCCATGGAACCAGCAGCAGAGGACCCTGAACAGGCCAGGGGAGCGAGTGCTGGATCACAGATCAGGTGTTCCTGCAAATGACAACAAAATCAAATGCATATTTTCATTTTTACCTATTTGACCCATTAACTAACTACAGAATTTCTTTGTAATCCCCAGCAGATGAGCATCAAAGAGAAGACCTATGGTCCGAGCTAATCCCTTTATTATGGAGTAATTCTACAGAAATCAAATACCAGTGGTAAATCTGGAGATTAACAACAAGCTGGGAAACGCACAAATTAAATTGCATTCTCCTCGCTGCTGTGTCCGAGCCAACAGCTCCGTCTCTGCCCCAGCCACTGCAGGAATCCATGGGGAGAAACCACTTTGTGAAAATGCGAATATTAAATCCCTGGTGCAGGCAGAAAGCAGAGCTGGCCCTTAAGGAGCCCATGTCCATGCAATGTCCCCATTCCCATGCACCTTTTCGTGCCTTGCTTTTCACAACATGCAGGGACCAAGGCTGGAGGGGGTGGCATCAAGGGCCACCTTCCCCAGGGACCCCCCCCAGGCCCAGCGAGCTGGGGCTCCAGGGGACCCCCAGCAGCACAGATCAGCCCCTCACTCTGCTTTTATTGCACAGTAACAGTTGAATGAATATTTTATTAATTCCCTTAAGAACAGCTCCACAAATGCACGATTTAATAAAACATGAGGACGTGTTTTTGGAAGAGCCACTCAATGCTTCAAACAGCCCAGTCATCGCATATTAACCAGAGCAGACCCCGAGCAGTTGTATTTTTATCCTGGTGACTCTAATGGAGTCCCACTGCGTGCGAGGCAGGGGGGCGCTTGTAGATCTACCTACGGGAACACCAGAGAGGTGAAAAGCCCCAGACTATGGAGTTTATTAGCGAAAGGTATTGGTAAACCAGAGAAACACTGATCAGCTGTGAGCCCCTTCCACCCGTCTGCACCACACGAGCTGGACGAGATGGACCCCGCTCCTCATCTGCTAAGCCAGTTTTGGGTTTCTGCATTCCTAAATACAACATGGGAGCTGCATGGTATTTTTTTTTCCCATGGCTGAGGTGATTCTAGCAAAAACCTTGCTGCTTCTGGAAACGGCAATATTTTTCTTGTTCTTGTTTGAATTGGTTATAAAAGCAGCGGTAAATCAAACCAAACGGCCAGAGAGGAGCAAAATGAGGAGAAAGGTGACAGAGGTGGCTGCTGCCTCTTCCTGCTCCAGGAAAGGGGGTAAATTCATCTGAGAGGAGGAAACTCAAAGCCAGTGATAGAAAATCAGAGCAGCCAGCACCGCAGGGAGTGAGGGGGCACCAGAGGCTCCTGGGGCCATCGGCTCCCCCCCATGGCACCCCACGGTGACTCATGGTGCCCCACAGTGTCCCACGGCAACCCACAGTGACCCACAGTGGCCCACGATGACCCACAGTTACCCATGGTGCCAGTGCAAGGTGTACATGGTCCCATCTTGCGTGAGGGAAGGTCCCCCCAGCAGCACGCCCTGAGCTCCGGCTCCACAGCAGCTCCGCGTTCCCACTGACAGGTAGTGCTGATTTATAAAGCAGAAATAAATGAGTCTGCTCGGCAATTTCACCTAATTTTGTCTCCCATTTCAATTTGCCATCTTTCAGCATAATGTTGGGTGGTTAATTATGTTTCCATCTTATTTCTCAGATAATACCCCCTTGTACTGCACATCGCAGCCACTCAAAGGGCTTCATTTTACCTTTCGTTTCACCTCCTAGCACAGCTCTAAATTTAGTCACCTTGTAATTTTGGGGTATTTTATATATTACGCCTTTATTATTGTGAAGTAAAATGGAATCCTTGTCTTTTAATTCACTCTCTAATAATTCTCCACCAAGCCTTAATACAAAAGGCTTTTTTTTTCCCCCCGAAGACTAATTGAGTGGGGCGTAATTATAATACCCAGGGAGATGATACTGAAAGTACCTTAACTGTGACAGTTTCCTCTGACTAATTGCCCCTTCGGCGACTTGCACGTCTCCCCATCAGTTACTGCGCTAACGTGTCAGGGCCAAGGTTTAAGGAATTTGGGCACGGTGCCACTCCAGGGTCAGGATCTTCAGGTTTCTGAGCCACTGACGCAGCTGCAGGGGCTCCCCTGTCCCCAGGACCAGGGATGAGTGCCGGGGTCCACAGCACAAGCATCCATCCTCCCCTGGAGACAGGGGATAACCCCAGCACCGCCGTGGGCTGCAGCCTCGCCTCCAAAATGTGTTCACCTGCTGGGGGTGCAGGTGATATCTTTTGCCCATTTTGGTCTCATTTTCCCCCTCCATGCATCCCTTCTCCTGACAGCCTCTGGCCCAGGCTCATCTCCCTCCTTTGGTGGAGGAAAGCCATGAGTATTTTTGGTCATCTGGCTGTCCCAGGACAGAAAAGCCCTCATGCAGCAGGGGCTGTCCCATGGGAGCTCAGTGATGTCCCGATGTCAGGAGAGCTCCATGGCCACAGGCACGCAGGCAGCCGCTGGGTGGCCCCCCTCCAGCCATCGGCTCAATGAACGAGTGTGCCGTTTTAATGCAACGTGTAATTAGAGTGGAAGTCACAGCCAAAAGATTTTATTGAGCCAGAGAATTAGGCACTGCATGAGTAACGAGAGTGGACGCAGTCACCCGAGCTGGTTGGGATTGGAAGGGCCAGGGCAGAGCTCCCAGCCCCAGCAAGAGACGCGCTCCCAAAGCCCCCCCAGCTGCTGAACAAACAGATCCTCTGCAGAGGTTAAAATGAATTTATTGTTTCACAGTCTGGTATTTACATCACATCTGGAGTCGGTGTTGTGTACCCCGTTACAAAATCACCTCAATAATGAGTCCCATTGGCAGTGGTCAACTGCATCCACACCCCAGGCAGTGTATGGTGCTGCTGGCCCCCTCGCCAGCCCCCATCCCCCCGATCCAGCACAGCCCCACGGTCATGGAGCGGGGCTGGGGCAACCGGGGAGGCGCTGGTCCCACTCTCCACTATGATGCTCTTGCTCAGGCCATGGGCCACCAGCCCCACCACTGCAGCAGCCCTGGCATTCCCAGCCCTGACGATGTCGGGGGTCTCGTTCTCTCCCCCTTGAGCTGCACAGCCAGGGAAGTGGTGCATCCTGGGGATGGGCATGAGCTGAGGTTCAGGAGATGGTACATTTGTCCTTGTTTTAAATTAACACAGTGGAGCCTGGCTTGGTCTGGGTCTCTCCTGGGCATCTGCATGGCGTCAGGCTTGCCAGAGCCGAGGTCTTCCCCCGCATGTTATTCCAACATTAGACTGCAAACGCGAGCAGTAACTTGGTGTCTGGGACTTGCACAGCAGAGAGCAGGTATTAAACTCACAGCCCAATCAACGCAGTCACCAAGGAAGGAGAAACCAGCAGCATGCTCCACAGAGACATCTCACACCTCATCACCACCTCTCATGGGAGCCAGGCAGCCCCAGCCACGCCGATGCATCCTCCACACGCAGTCACAGCAGCCAGGTCCATGGGGAGCGCACAGCGCGGCGGGGACGAAGCAGCCCCCGGTGACACGGGATCAGGTCAGAGCTCAGCGCCTGCCCCTGGGACCTCCAGCCAGGAGCTGTCAGCAAACATGGGAGGGAAAACACAACCATCGACTTCCCAATTCCCGATGGAGACCCCGCTTCAACATCCTGGGAGATGGGGAAAGACGACTCACAGCAACGACTGCAGCTATTCCAGAATAAAGCCTATTTTGGGGTCTGCTGTCTGTATCGTCAACAGCTCTTACATGGCCGGAGTGTTTTATTTAGGAGGATGGGAACGTGAGCCCATTTCTTGGTTGGTGAGTGGGTCCACAGGGCCAGAGGTGACCATGGAGCAGCCTTGCTGCTGTGCTGGGGTCCCATCCCAGTAGATGCTCTGCCCCGGTACCTGGTACGGTGTGGCCGGCAGCCACGGAGCATCCCAGGCCTTGTCCCACGGCTCTGCAGAGCACCGAGCCCCGCACTGGGATGGTCGATCACCGTGGAGCTGACGGCGGCTACCGTGTCACCTGGGGGTACAGGACAGGGGTGGGCAGTGACTGACCCCAAAGGGGGAGTTACCCTGCACCCCGCTGAGCCCCCAGTGGGAACAGCCTCAGGAGATGCCAACGTGGGTGCCCTCTGTGCTCATTTAATGGGCCAATTTAATCCAAATTTCACAACGTTTTGTGAAGCCTCTGCTCTGGCTTCAGCTCTCACTGGGCTCTGTCTGCAGAGGGAGGGGAAAATCCACCCCCTAGCAGGGCCCTAAAATCCTCTTGAAAATACAGCTCTGCATTTCCAAAATGCCCCCTCCCCAGGGCAGGACGAGGGCTCCAAGAGTTCGCAGCTGGGGAAAATCAACAAAAAATGATGGGAAAAAGAGAAGAAGTTGGAGGTGGTGCTGCAGTTGCTGCTCAGGGATGGATGTCCAGTGCCAGAGGAGCCTTTGTGGACGTCCATGAAAACACACGTGTGTGTGAAAGTGCTTTCTGTGCACAAAAACAATAGCAGTAATGAAAAAAGCCCAGTGTCGCTTAATACGATAATTTTATAGCAGAGGATGTGGGGTAAGGAAAAAAAACCCTAAAGCATAAGAAATAATTACACTCAACAGTACGAACAATTATGCAACTGATTAACCATGGCATATATGTAATTACTAATGAGTTTGATAAAATTTTAATTATACCTTGTTCTTTGGGGCATTCAGCAAGCCATGAAAATAATAATCATGTAGTGCTCTGTCACAGCCGATTGCCTCAGCCCGGGGCACGGTGACAGATTCAGGCTGTGCCACTGGGCTGGGACAGCAGCGGGGAGATGCCATCCCCAGATTGTCCCCAGTGATGCCCTCCTCACTGAGCCTCCTCATGGGTGTTATTGACCAGCAATGCCATAGGACCCACCCGGGCTTTGTGTCACCCCCATGGGCATCAGTGACACCAGCACCCAGCACCCTCCCCCAGGATGTACCTTGGTCGTCTTCACTTTGTTGCCACTACTGCAGCTCCATCCCGAGAGGTCGGGCAGGACCTTGCACTCCTCCCCGGCCAGGCACGGCTCCATCTGGCACCACCACTTCTGCAGCACGATGGAGGCTGCGGAGAGGAGCAGGCGTCAGCAGCCAGACCAACGGAAAGCGTTCCCAAAACGCTCCCTGTCCCCTCGCTCTGCTGCAGGAGCTCCTGGGCAAGGCTCCTGTTAATCCTGGGGACACAGAGACCCCCCTACCGATGGGGAATCACAGTGGGGGGTTCACGGCATGCAGGGCACTCACCATCCACGCAGGAGGGAGCTGCCCGAGTCGTCCCCGCCACCTGCCCCGGGAAGCAGGAGCATTTCACCGTCTGCGAGCGCTCCTCGATCTTGTTCTTGTTGCAGCACCGGTGAGCTGCGATCACCTCGCACGTCCCGGGCTCCACGTGCGCTGCGGGGGGAGAAGCAGTGGAAACAGAAACAACCGACTGCCTCCCGCCACTGCCACCCGTGACCGAGGCACCGCAGCGCTCGGGGCAGCATCGCCCAGCCCCACTCATCAGGACCAGCTCTGGTCCTGTCCGGTCCTGCTGCTCCTCACCCCCACCAGCCCTCGCGCCCATCCAACCCAGCAAAATTAAAAGCCGCTCGCCACGGCCAAGCCAAGAGCTTTATCAAAACAAATGAGCACGTTCATTAATTGCAGCTGATAATGAGCTTTGCCACAAGAGGGGCTGGTGCATGGTGCTGTGCAGGGAAAGGCCCCGTCCCGACGTGAACGCGGGCAGTGACAGCGCTGCTCGTCCCCTGCTCCGCTGGGAGCTGCACACCCTGTGCCCGGGGCAGGGAGGGCCATGCAGTCACCACAGCTTTAATTTGGCTTTATTTATTGTTATTTCACAGTCATTTTCTTTTAATGAACCATCACTTTCATTTCTGCCCATAATAATTACGCAATTACCTATCCTGGAAGTATTTTGTAAGAGCATCTCTGGCCATCAATTTTATCCTTCCTTTTAAATGCCATCATAATTCAGATTTAATGATAATTTCCATTCTTTTTGTATGCTGAAATGGTAGACTTCGGCAAAAGTGAGAAGAAAAGCAACTCATTACAGAACAAACGTGACTGTTCCGCCCTGTTTCTATGGCTAAGGGGATTTTTCAAGTAATCTGAGGAATAAGCAGAGGTCCTTGGCTCTGGCTGATGTGAACCCACAGTCCCACCACGCTCTGATCCAGGACCATGAGGAGCCTCTCACCGACCCTGTGCACCCCAACTGCAGTGCTCACAGATAGTTGTGGTTTTGACTCGTTTTTATAAAAACCTCCCCACAAAGCTTCATTAGAGGAGCCTTCCCGGGGGGGAGGCCAGGCGACCCCTCTGCTCCTGCTCACTCCTGCTTCCTGGCTCCTCATTTCAGCTCATTTAGAAAGGTTCAGCTGTGGGAGAGCCAGGCAGAACTGAGAAATCGCTCATTACAGCCGTGCAGGAAGAGTTCGCTTACACGCCAAAGCCCTTTTAATTTGCTCAAAAAGGTGCAGCTCAGAGATAAAGAAAATTTCTCTTCTCCACCTGCCTGAGTCAGCTGAGCCTGGGGGCACCCACCACATCCATCCAGGGACCAGGCAGACTGTGGGGGTGCAGAGAGGGGAAGGTGCTCCCAGCAGGACAGACGGACGTGGCCCAGCTCTGGATCAGAGCCTGAGGGCAGCCAGGAAGGGCAAAACCCAAGGCAGAAAAGAGATGCTCAGACCCATGGCAATGAGTGATGGTCTCAGACACACGGGAGCGAGTGATGGTCTCAGCTCTCTTGGCACCATGTGCAGGGGTGGACACCCCATCACCCGGGATAAGGCCCAGAGCTCCTGGCACGCTTCTCCCTCCCATTCAACTGGTATTTCCCTACTGCAACCCTTTCTAAAAAAAATCTTATCTCATGGAGCCATAAAAGCACTGTAGGAGCACAAGGCTTTTGAATCCTGCATGCAAAAATAAAATAAAAAGCTGTCCTACTCTGCCTGACCTTTAAGTGAGCAGCAGAACATGTTTTTTATGGCATAACCTGAAATGACACATTTAGTGTGTCTCGGGGAGGCGTGGGCACTGCTCCATGTGTTCAGTGTGAAATACCGCTCCTTTTGCTGCTAGAGAGCTGTAAAATGCAGAGGAGGTGAATGCCCGTAACTGCAGGCGATGCCCTGGGTCTGGGCCCCAAGGGGGCTGAGCAGTGGAGCCCAGGGGTGGGAGGCAGGGGTCTGGTGCCCCCCAGGAGCAGGTGGGGGGCTCAGGGGGTCAGCCTGGGGGCAGCGGGGAGTGAGGGGCTCGCAGGCAGCCGGCAGCGTGAGCCATCTGTAACCCATGCCCCGCAACAACTCCACTGCTAATACTCACTAAATAATTAAAGTCTTAAAATCACTGCTGCCTTAGATGCATGTATTATTTAAGAGGGTTTTGGAGAGAAGCAGCCTTGTTTTTATTGCTCATTATCACTGTACATCAGCTGGGATTTTTTACTACCTTGTCACCACTACACCATGCTCCGTCGCTCTTTGCTGTGTGCACGTCCACGAGCTGCTCAAGCAAATCCCATTGCTTCACACTTGCAAGCAGAAACCCAAATGCCTGGGCTCAGGACAATATCCCACCCTGGTTTAAAGGCCACACATGATGGAGGAACCAGCACGGTCCACATGAGAGGGAATCTCACAGAAGCATCTCACAAATAAACACCAAAGCTGCCATCTTCACAGCGAGCGATGACATGCCGGCCGGTAAATCTCTATACAAGATCATCAGAAACCGGTGCTCTCCATTCACTCAGAATCTCATCTCCCCAAAGCAAATCCCAGCTGACCAAACGTCTTTATTTCTGCTCTGGGTTGAGCGATGGATGTGTCTGAAGGCAGGGATGGCACACGCAGATGATCAGGGTTGGGGATTTATCTGGAGACACTGGGCCACCTCTGCAGGAGCTGCATCCAGACAAGGAGCCTTGTCCATCCCACAGCGCTCGCCACCTCACCCGAGGGTTGAACTGGTGAATCGTCCTTCCCCAAGGAGACTCCTCTTCCATTTCCAAAGGACTTAAATCTCTGCGCCCGATTCATGCGGCCCTTTAAATCCCAGCACATAGCCCAGCTCTGCTGGGACACGTCTGGGGTCCAATCTCTGCAGCCAGTGAGGTGTTTACTGTACAGGGCTGCACAGCTACCAGGGGTCTGCACGGCTACCAGGGGTCTGCATGGCTACCAGGGGGGCTGCATGGCTACCAGGGGGGATGCATGGCTAGCAGGGGGATTCAAGGCTACCAGGGGGCTGCTCTGATCTCTGTTCAAGAAATTCCTGAGGGTGGGGGCTCTGAAACCTTGCGCCCACATTGCCATAATTAAAGATCTTCCTCTGCTATTGCTCATTTTCAGGTGCCACACCTGGTTTTAACTGTGAATAAAAACCACTTGGTGCCAGGTAACCAGGATGTGCAGCGAGAAACTGTGTTCATACAGACAGAACGGGGTCAAAGTTGTAAGTATTTGCTCCTGGTGTGCCCGCTTTGCTGTGGCTTAGAATTCGCTTGAATAAAAAGTACAAGATTTGGTCCACTGTGGGCAAGTCCGTGTGAGCGGAAAATCCCCATCTCCCTGCCTGCAAGCATGTGAATACCAGAGCCAATCTCCTCACGTGTGGAGAGGGGTTTATCCAGGATTCACGCTCAGTGAGTACATTTGGGCATTTGCACTTCAAACCCAGGCGAGTCGCTGCTTTACTAAAGCCAGGTCTGGCAGCAGCCCCCAGCAAACGGCTCCTGCGGGGCAGTGCCCAAGCCCCCTCCTGGGGAGCCTCGCAGTGCCAAAAAGCCCCTCCAGAAAGGATGGAGGGGTTTTACCATCCCGTGTACCTGTGGCAGGCGGGAGGGCTGAGGCAGGTAACGCTCCTGGATGGGAAGGAGCCGCTCTGGGACACGCTTTGGTTTTAACCAACGAGGATGGGGATTACGGGATTAGAGCTGCTTTAACTGGCAGGGAAAAATGACAGAAATAGGACAGGGTGTGGGGTCAGGCCCGAACGGTTTCAAATTAACCCTGAAATACCTTCATTTCCCCACACTGGCACCAGGGGCAAACAGCAAGTAGACCCCAGAGCCAGGGCTACGCTTCCCAGCAAGGCTTTCAGTTCTACATCAGTTTGTGCTCATTCCATGGTCACAGCCAGAGGGCTGGAAGTTTGTGTTTCTATTGAAAGCCTAAAGTGGGGAGAGTCTGTCGCATAACAGAGTGGTTTGTGACACTCATGGTGACTTGGGTGGAGCTATGGCTCACTGCTCACAGACCAAGGGTTACTCAGTAATAACCCCCATCAATGGACGTGTCTCAGATTTTGCTGCAGACCTGAAGAAATTCACTTTTCACCCCTCAGTCCAGCCAGGCTCACCCAGCACCAGTTTTGAACGCAGCATCGCGGGCGCAAGGCCATCACCTCCCCTACCTGAATGGGTCCTGTGGTGGGCAGAGGCCAGCGTCAGTCGTCCCCACAGTGTGGTCAGGCAGAGAGTGAGCACCAAAACCCGTCTGCTCAGGCTCTGCGCCTCTCTCTCACTCATTCTGCCGAAGACAAGGAGAGATGTGAGGAGGAGGAGGGCAGGCGCAGCCCCCACGCACCCGCGCTGCTGTGTGTGGTGGAGCACCCCCAAACATCGGGACCAGGGTGGGGGACGTAGCTGCAGGGGCATGGCCTGGGGGTCACCACTGCCCTCAGACAGGCGTGGCTGTCTCCATCAGCACGGAGAGGCGATGGTCGCCTTTCGGCACTGGTTACCTTTTCCTGGGGTCCACTCACACCCGTGCGTTGGCCAACATGGGGGGTGTCTGGGCTCTGTGGGGGGCGGGCATCAGTGCATCTGCAAGGAGAGAGGAGCACGGGCAGCGACCAGGGGTGAGGAGATCCTTCACTTCCAACCACCTCCTAAATCTGTCTGCTCCGGACCAGGCCGAGGCAGCAAAACAGATGCACATAAAGTGCCAGAATGGAAAACACTGACATTGTTAATCAAAACAAAGTGACTTGAGGTGGTAAAAGGGCATTTCTTGGTTTTGGACCATTTCAAAATGAATTGTTGAGTTTTAAACTGACATTTCAAAATGAAAAATGTTTCATTCCAAAATGCTGATTTAAAATGGTATTTTCCATTTTGATTGTCCTAGCAGGAAAAAAAACCCAACAGAAAATGTCACCAAAAACGTTGACATTTGCCCAGGAAAAAAAAAGAAAGGTATCTTGACAAAACCACATATTTTATGCTAGAAAAGAATTTAGAGGTAAGAAAATACTCCAAATTAACACCACGGGACTGCCAGCGTGACCAGGAGCAGACCAATGTGTGGTTGGGGAGGGCACAGACATGCAGGCGCCCGCTTCCCCTCCTGTCTCCATCCCCACACCCCAGGGATGTCTGCCTCCTGCCCCAGCACAGCCCTCACCAGGCTGCACCCCACGCTGCAGGGCTGGAGCTGCTCCAAGCCCCCTGAGCTCCTGCATCGCCAGGATGGACCCAAAACCCATGCTGAACATGCAGGAAAAGTATTGATCCCCAAAGTGGGCACAGCTGAGGTGACAACAGCACCGTCTCCTTGGGTAAAGCCATATTTAGGGAATCTCAGCGGGGCTGAAAGAATCCTCGGGGGGGATTTTCACAGTCTGCACTATTGGAGTCCCCCCAGAGATCGCAGCCCATCCTGTGAACACTGATGCCAGCTCAACACGCGATTTCCTCAATGGAAAAGCAACCAGCGCTCTTGGAGCGGCTCAGCCCTTCACGTAAACCCAGGGCAGCGCCAGCACCAGCGGCACGATGCCCTCCCACCCCACACACATGCGCACACACACACCCCCTGCTCAACCCAAAGGAGCCGCGCTGGGCTGTGTGCCACAGCACACATCTGTCCTGCCCCACAAAGGGACACATCTGGCAGCCCAGATGTGCAGGCGGCAGTGCTGTCAACAGCCTCTTGGCTGGACCAGAAGCATGGGCACTGCCGGCCGCCCCTACCCCACAGGGACAGGGATGCACTCCCAGTGCAAGCTTTATTTAGCTCAGGAAGGCTACAGCCAAGGAAGCATAAATAAATCACGAGTTATCAATAACGCAGCCGCGCTGTCCACGGGAAGGGAAGTCACCGCACGAGCGGCAGGAGCCAAGCCCATGGCAGGAGCTGGGGTGAGCACAGGGGGGTTCAGAGGAGCACAAGGCCAAGAGGCAGCAGCCATTGAAGCGATGCCCCCACAGCACAGGCACTCGGGGCTCTGCTCACGCACGAACTCCCGTTAGAAAACACGGCGCCGCAGAAATTGCTATTTTGACAGTTATCAACCTCCATCATCATGAGGCTGCAACTATAAATGTTTGTTCTGATGTGAAGTTTTTCAGCCTGGAATGTCATTTTTGAAAGGAAGAGGGATGTTCTGGCTTGTCAAAGCACTTAATTTTGATTGAAAATACCAGCATTCTCCCTTCTGTTATGTTCTCTTTGGAACTTTGTGGAATTCTTCATCAACAATTTTTGTTAGCTGCTTTCCTCCTTTTGAGTCTGAGCTGGGATCTGAAGTAACTGCAAAGTGCAGAGTCCCTCTGAAGGCAGATCTTGGAGGTGGTCAGCGTGGCAGAGACAACCAAGCAGAGGCCTCTTCCTTCTCCTGGAAGCCAGGGCAGTGCCCAGGATGCCGATGTTCCCACTTGGAGTCGCACTAGACAGGAGCTTTGTGCAGAAAATCCTGCACCCTCACATGTGCTGTAATGCTCCGAACACGGCACCGCTCCTTCCCAAAGAGAAACCCCACTGCAGAGGAGTCCCAGAGCTCCTGGTTGAGCTGGGTGCTTCACTGCACACTTCATTTTAGCTCTCACTCTGGGTACAACAGTGGCCCAGCCCCACAGATGCACTGGTGAGGGCAGCACAGGGCATATGCCCCCCAACATGGCAAAGGGGTGGCAGGGGAACACACAAGGATGTAGAAGATCCCTTCCCCAAAGCGTGCCCTCTCCTCCTCTCCCCTATGCTGATTTATTTCCAGCTCTTTGCTCATTCCTCCAGCGTTTGCAGCATTTCCTTCCCAGCCAAGGCGAGCGGGAGAGTTTTTAATTCTAATTCCACCCAAGCATGGGCCAGTTCCTGCTCCCTCGCTCAGTGAATCCCATGGCCCCGCTGCCGCTGGCATTTTGCAGGTCAGCCCTGCTGACAGCTCCAACCTCTGACCCATCCAGGGCCAGGAACCTCTGTCAGACCGTGGCTGCTCACCGTGGGTGCTGAGACCCGAGGTCGGCAGCATTCAGCCCCATCAGCGGAGGCAAGCAGAGGATTTGACAGCTCAGATTGTTTCTCCACACTTCCCCTGGCCAGGCTTTTTGCTGGGGCGTGGGTGTCCCGGCACAGATGAGCTCTCCCAGGGCAAGGACACCCTGCACAGCCCCGCAAGCCCCACACCGCATCCCCAAGGGGTGGCTATCGGGCAGGAGGAGGGGACTCCCGCTCCCTGCTCAGCACCACGGCATGGACCGCTCCTGCCTCCCTCCAGGATGGGACTGGTGCCACCGATGCTCTCGCAGGAGAGGGGGACACCCGGCAACAGAACACCGGCACCTCTGCCCCCCTCCAGGCTGGCATCGCCCAGAAGCAAAACCCATCAGCCACAGCGGAGAGAAGCGAAACACAGGGGGACTGGAGCCCGCGTACCCTGTCCCCTCCCGTCCTGCCCTGGCTTTGGCCAGGAGCGCCCCCCGCTGCGGAGCCCCAGACCGCTGCTCCCGGTGTCGCCGCTCCCCACGCCCGGCTGGTACCGGGGCTCAGCCCGCAACGCCTCGTCCCCTCGCACCGCCCCGGGGACCGG